GGCTTGCTTACTGAGCAGAAAAGCGCGGTCCCAGATACTTTCATATTAAAAATGTATGGTTAGATCACTTTTTTTTATGCTTTTATTTTTCCAGGCTCATTTGCCGTAGCTTTGCGGAGCCGATATTCATCGTTTGGGTTACAAAATTGCTTAAAACTAACGTTAGTAAAGCGGGGGCCGATTACTCGCGGCTATCTCGAGGTTAGGGGTAACAAATTGTAACAAACGGGTGGCAGGGTAGGGATTGAAAACACAGGGTTTTTAGAGCAATGTGCTCTTGATCTAGAAATAAGCGACATACTGGAGAAAAAGACAAACATGGGGGTACACCGATGGAGACCTAGCAACTTGAGAGAACGCAAGATGACACTAACTACTAAATCCTTAGATCGATCCGTTTTAAAAACACATAAATTAAATTAAAATATTCGAGATCTCGGCTCGCCAAGATGTCTCTAACGGGCTGCATAGGTTGTTTTCCTCGGGCCCTGAGGGATGCGGATAACTCGGATCTAGCAACACAATCCCCCCTATTCTGCGAGTCACATGACTCTCTCTCACCGGTGAGGTGACAATAGTCACCTCGTGTGAGGTGACTCTCCATTTGATTTACATGGAGAGTCACCTCACCGGTGACAGAGAGTCACGTGACTCGCAGAATAAGGGGGAATATAGGGTGCATGACCAAAGCACGTGGTCGATATCGTGATAGCCACTACCACAAGCGCACAAAAATTGCTGCCTGCGAGCTCGATTCGGAAGAAATGCGAGTCTAACGAGTAGTGATTGGACATGACCCTTGATATGACACGTATAAAGTCACGGCTCATGTCCAATCCTTTGAACCATGGCTTGTTCGATACCTGTGGGAGAATAGAATGTAACCATCTTCCCAGATCACTCTCATTCCATTTTTTTGCCAGTTGGTGAGGACGTGCTGACGGGTAATTGAGAAAAATTCCGCAAAGGCGATTTGTCGATCAAAAATATCGCCTTCCATAGCGCCCACCTTAGCTATCGAGTCCGCTTTCTCATTACTAAGCTAAGGCTATCAGTAAAATAAAATAGTGATCAGATGGTAGTGAGGCAATTTGCTCTACTGCGTAAAATATGGCTGCTAGTTCCGCAACGTATACGGAACAGGGTTTTTGCAGTTGATATGAGGCGCTATGAAATTCGTTGAATACTCCAAATCCAGTGGAAGCGTTTATAGTTGACCCATCTGTGAAAAAACTCTTATTGTTACTAACATGGTGGTACTTGTTTGCAAAAATTAAGGGAACAACCATCGACCGATGGTGATCTGGTATTCCCCGGATTTCTTGCAACATGGTCAGATCAAAATTTACAGAGGAACTATAAAAGTCTTGGAGGCAATCACGAGAGGAATTGAATGAAGAAGGGCCAATCTCCAGTGTCATGTACTCGTAATAGAGACTCATGAATCTTGTTTGAGGATTTCTGTCGAGCAGCTTTTCAAAGTTTTCTATTACCAATGGGTTCATTACTTAACAACGGATAAGAAACCGGAAGGACAGTTCCGCGAAACGATCTGTCATTGGGAGAACACCCGCGAGTACTTCGAGGCTCATCGTATGCGTCGAGTGCATACAGCCAAGCGCGATTCGGAGGCAACGGTATTGAACCCGTTGCAGCTTCAAGATATGTGTTTTCGCCGCGGATTGAAAGCAGAAGCTACCGTACTCTAGAACGAAGAAAATTGATTCCTTGTTGGCATTTTTGTTTCACATACGCAATATGTTTTCCCCACGTGCTTTTGGAATCGAACCAGACACCTAAATACTTGAAAGATATACTTTGAGTGATTGTTCTACCCTTTAGTTGGTTAGATCACTTGTTTATCGTGTATTTCGTAAAACTTTTCGTTGTCGTCGGTGCCGGGTCTGAATAGTCATAAAAACTTGAGTAACGCTATAATGTTATATGAGGGGCTCGGTGGCCTTAGCACAACCGGTTTTGCTTACTGAGCAGAACATCATGAGTCTAATCTCAAGCCCATCCACATTCAAGATTCGACGACGAACCCTGCTGCAAACCTAACCCTATTACCCAATATCCCAGTGATTCCTCGTGGAAGTGCAGAGGTGTTCTCGGCTTCCATCAAAGCGAGTGTCACGTCAACACATTCCTATCCCTCCCTTTCTTGACCTGTGTTCGGGCGCGGCCGGCGCTGGTATTGCCTAGTTTGAGATCACCAGTTTTTACACATTGAGGATGATTGCTAGTCCCAAGCATCGTCTATTGGTTATCTGTGTAATTACTGCTGGTCTGGCAATAACAGAGTAGCAACCGTGGGCGATCAATCATGCTCATGCTCATGCTCAAGACCATCGGCTTATATTAAAGCGCTGCAAAGTGGTCAACTTCTTGAATATCCTGCTGATTAACGTAATCCGCCCTAATTCTAGGAACATTTAGGTTGTACGACGTTTCGCGGAATGACCCATTTGTGTAGGGATTTATTTCTCGGAAAACCATTTTACAGAGTTCCATTTCGCGAAGTTTTATTTGGCGGAATGTTAAATGAATTAATTTCACCAAGTATTTTTTGTAGCTTTTAATAACTTTAATTTCCTAACTAGAATTGGGTTGTATAATTTCGAAAAACATACCGGTTTTATATACCATCTGAAAGCAAGGTTGCAAATACTCATTTCAGCTAAAATAATGTTTTTCGGAATAATAAAACTAAAAGATGGTATGATGACATGTTTTACTTGAAACTTACAAGAAGTGGTTACAAAGTATGCGTTTGAAACATAAAACCTGTAAATTTTGCTTTCTATGAGTCACAATCAGTGATTTGTTGATTGAGAGTATTGAGGTCAAAGTATATTCGTAATCTGCTTTAAAAATGGAACCGAAATCAATAATTTCATAATATTGGTAAACAAATCAGTTGAATTCAACTGAATTGAATGTGAATTGAACGTCTAAACAATGCCATTTAACTGAATTGATCAACTCACTTGAATTGAATAAAGTTGAACCTGGCAAAACTTTTCAAGCCAATTGAATTCAACTGAGTTGATCATTTGACTTGCCTAGTCTAAACCCAGCTTTATACCCCGTTCACATTACAGCGTATATCATGCACACTTAGATTTTTTCGCCGAGATGGGCACCACCGAGCAGCTCGGCATTTTATTTTGCTGAATCTCAGTGAAAAACTTGCCGAGATTCAGCTAACAAACGGGAATTTTGCCGAGATCTCAGCTAACATCTACGAACATAACCCATACTTTTAAACTAAATTAAGTAACTAAAATAAATTTAACTAAACGTGTTTCAAGTACTTCTGGCTTTGACATATATTAATTATACCTTTGTTCGTCTCAGGTGACACCTTCAAGTGACTAAAATGCTTCACTTTGAAGTTAGTTTCCTGGCTAATTTTAAATTGTATATTGTATAGGGTAAATGTTCCAATTACGCTCTCACGTTTCCACTATGAAGCACCACAAAAATACATATGGGTATGTCACAATAGAAGCACACCACAGTGGAAATCCCGAGTCATAGTTCAAACACTTATCCCAAATCAAAATGAAGCACATATAAAATTAGTTACAATACCATGTACAAAAATGGTGTTTAACATTGTTCCCTGAGTGAAATTAAAACAACAATGAAAGCAAATAGAAGGAGCACTGTTGGGCACTTTCTGAAATATTTCAATAGTATAATTCCCTTGCAAACCCAAATAAATCTATCTGCGTAAAAAAAAATAAGAGTATCGCACCCAACGTCAGTGCCTATACGTAAGCGTACTACGACGCGGCTCTCAATTAAAGGAGTAACAAGTGTAATACTATCACTGCTAGACTAGATCTTTGGTTCTCTCATGCAGTGGTTTATCAGAGAGGGAAAGCTTAGTAATCCCCATTGCCCATGGTGACATTCTACCGCGGCATGGGCCAGCAACGCCGGCCATAAACCTACCGTCTCCAACACTCCACTAAAAAGCATGAAATTAAGCCCGCCCACCAGTAACAAGGTGCAAAAACTAGCCAAGGGGAGGGAATGTCACTGATATCTGGTTAGTTGGGTATTCAGATGAAAATCTTACTTTAAAAACTAATCCTGGTTGTATCTCTTTTTCGTTTGCATGTAACACTGTTTGATATTGCTAACCGCATAACGAGCAGATGACAACGAGCCCCTTCTCGGTTCCATTCTGTGATGATGAGTATCACATAAAAGGTAAGATAGGTAGCATCATCTTTATCGAAATGTAAGTATTATTGACAATAATCATAACTAGATGATATGCAAATTTATACGAAAGGTACCTGGATCAACGTTATTTAAACATGCGCATTCAATCGCGACGGCATCTAATTCTACATTTTAAACCTACCCAACCCTTTTCCTTTCTACAATCCCTGAGCAGCTGGTTCACCATAAGTGTACCTCGCAGAATTTGTTTAACCCCCATAGGTAAAGATGCTGTGTTGCTTACTCCTCTCCCCTTCCCTGGTGTATTATGGATGGTGTGAATATTCACATCGGTGACATGGCCCCTGACCCTCTTGTACATCATAAAATGAAAATAAAAAACAAATACAATTTGACAAGCCTTACGATTTAATCTGCAGAATATTGTATTTTATGAAATGTAAACATAATGGGATGAATTTCATTTTAATATGCGAGGCACTACGATTCTTCATGTGCATTATTATATGACTTCTGGTTGTCTGTGTATGTCAAATTAGAAGCTTTAAACATTTAAAAATATAGGAGCTTTCAACCCTTCGACTATTTTGCATAAAATACTTCCATCCAGAACCATGAAAATCAATAAACCAACTTAAATATCGATTCGTAACCCCTAGCCGACGCTAGTCATTAGCTAACTGCACTGACCCATTTACTACGATGATGTTAATAATTCATTTCGCCACCTTGTCCGACAGCAATCGTTTCCGCCTCAGGGCCATTTCTTTCACGTTTAAAACATTAAACGACAGGAGATATATAGGAAATGTGTCACTCTGTTAACATATATTACCCAATAAACCATGCATTTTCAATTTCTATGCTTCAACATCCTCCTACGGTAATAAAACATATTGTTTCGCAGCCCTTCAATAAAACATGAAACGCGATTAATTACTTAACTCTGTTTTGTGATTCTCGGATCTAGAAAAATCCTCAATTAGATAGTTAGTATGATCGTCTTTTCTTTGATTAAAAGGAATAAACTTGAACGATCAAACCGCATGAATTTGTCCTTTCGTGATGATAGATGCTATTGCAGTAACAAAAGAAAACGTTTAACTTACTTACAATGATTCCCATATCCTACACAATTGTTTTAGTATGAAAATAAAGCACACACCCGTCGTCGTCGCCGTCGATGTAAGTGAAGATGACTTTGCTATCTTCGTCCAAACCATGCTACCACTTAATTGTTTAGGTGAAAATGCCTACAAATCCGCATCAAGAAAGGTGTGGTTGATGGATGTGCGAATGGTTTTTTCGAAATGATTGTTGTTATTATTTGTTGTAATTAACTATCGACTCCGTTTAGCACGTTGCCCGAGCATTACTGCTGCTGCTGTTGCATGGGTGGCGCTAACCGACTGATAAAGCTGACGCTGCTCTGAAGCACCTTGCGCACGATCGGTGGTGTGCGTGCACCATTAGCGAAATTCTCCGTAACCAGACGCAACTCGTAAAATACGTTCCTCGTGTAGGGATTGCGGCGGGACGAGTAGCGCAGCACCAAGAACTGGTAGTATACCAGTGGAGTCATAATGCCGGCTTTTCCCCTGCAACGACACGAAACGAAATGAAAGTGAATTGATTGATTGATTTCCCGCGCGGTATGACGAAAGAAATACTTACAGAAATACTAATACAACTGCCAGCGGCATAATGAAGATTTCAGCGAATGCCGCCAATCGAAGGATGTTTCTGGTTTGAAATTCCACCAGCGATATCAACAGGCGTGCGCCCCACCATGAATTTTGTCCGAGGGTCTGAAATTGAATTCATTTGAAATGAAAATTAGATTATTTTTAATATGATGAGGATATTAGGCCGTGGAAAATATTGTTGGTGGAGGTTCTTATATATATATATATATATATCAATAATGGAAAAGAGGTCACAAATTAATTTATCGGAAGGGGTGCGCCATTAACTTTGGTCGATTAAACATAAACACATTTTCCTATAACCAGTCGCCTTGAAATACAAAATGTTTGTTTCGAGTAGTGGAAATAACGACTTTGGCACTTCTTTACCTTTTATCATCAGTTGTACACACAAATGGAAAGAACTTTTAAAGAAGGTAACAAGTTAGACAATAAATTTTCCTTCTTTAATTTTCTCATAACGCAAGAAGATTAATGCTCAATAGATCAAGAGATTGTAGGAAACAAAAAGGTTTACCACGTCCAGGTCCTTCTTGGGATAGTTTATAAAGAATGGAATATTCATTACTGTGAACACATAATAAAAAAGGGACTATTCTCTTCTTTGAATGCATTATAAGGTTTAATAACGCAAGCTTAGAAACATAGTTAAATAGGAAGTATCGAAAATTTTGTCAGTTATCAAACTAAAAATAATGAATTTTCGATTTCCTTAATCTAAACGGAAACAAAATTTATGACTGTATCAAATTCAAGTATTTCATATCTAATATGGAGGACTGTGCTACATTACCCCGAATGTCGTTTCCCCCAATGCCAATACCCCGAATGTCCCATAACCCGAATCCCATTAAAACCTATACCCCATTTCCCCGAATGTACCATTACCCCGAAAATTGATAATACTTTTGACAGACATGATTGTAGTACCGTTTTACTAAAGAGACTGAATTTGGTAAAGAGGCGACATCTTATCCATTTGACAGGTCTTCTGCTCGATTGGAATAACTTTTCCTATGATTTTGACAGATGATCGATTGGTCCAATTTTGACATGTCGTCTATTTATAAATTCAGCCGCTTTATTTTACCACAATCGACATACTATCATAGAGGTAACTCTAAGACCAGAAGGTCCGAAGCTAATTGATGCACCCCTCGAAACATAGGAAAATCCACGAAACCCTCATTTTATCTGTCAAACTTTCATAGCGAATCAAAACAAACATGGTGTAGCGCTAAAATTTTGACTAGAATGGGGTACGCTTATAGATGTACTTGGGACCAATAGGCTAGTCAAGTAGTGAGCCAATTCAAATTCGTTAGTTTCCACCGGTTGGTACTACTGTGTTATCTGACTTATAACGAATATACGTTGTATACGAGTACCCCGAATACAACATATGACTCGTCTAATTTTGCATAGCATTTGTAATGTAAAATTAGGCGAACTATACGTTGTATTCGGGGTACTCGTTTATACGTTGTAAGTCAGGTAACACAATAGATTAAAGGAGCACAACGTTACTATAATCATGTCTGTCGATGGTATAAAATACCAAGATTGTGCTATATTACACCGCACGCCATTACCCAGAATGGAATGGGCCATAATCCTGAATCCCGTTAAAAAGTATATCCAGGGTGGCAAGTGAATTTCTGATTTAAAATTCCTGGTTTTTTCCCGGTTTTTCTGATTTCTTCTATAAAAATTCTTTTTTAACAAAGCAGTTTTGCAGATTTCGTAACTAAAATGCATATCATGTGTCAAACTTGATAATGAAAAATATTCAAAATACATCAGTGCATCGGTTCATGTCAACAAATTGAAATTAAATTTTGGCAGATAAATATCCATTAACAGAGTATTTGTTTCAGTTCAAGGTTTTCACTTAGCTAACGTATACTGTAATCAAGCGGCAAAAGGTCAATTTGTTGACCTCCGCTCATGCCTTAATTCTGGTTTAACTGAACAGGTACATTGGACCTTAGCGATATTTGTATTTATATGTCATTAACACTCCGAACACGAGGCCTTCGGTAACATGTGTAACGGCAAACTGGCAATGTTTGAAAACTCATATCCCAGACATTTGTTGACGGATTTCAAATTTATTGGCACCATCTGTAACTACATACTTTAAATACTTATTCGGGTTCAATAGACTTGAAATCTGTCGATGAGCTGCGGATCAGTGATTTTTCAAACATTGCCAATTTGCCGTTACACATTTTACGCAGTGCTAAAAAAGGGTAACAGTTTTCATTCAACAACGAAATCTAATGAAAGCTCACACTTCCTCTTATCAATCACGTTTACAGGAGGCTGAATTTATAAAGAGACGACTTGTCAAAATTGGAACAATCGGTTATCTGTCAAAGTCATAGGAAAAGTTATTCCAATCGAGCAGCAGACCTGTCGCCTCTTTACCCAATTCAGTCTCTTTAGTATCCGGCACCAAAAGCAAGATTTTTGATAGATCAGTGCACGTAGATGTCAAATTTGACAATTTTGGGTGGTTTGTTTCGGCTCCCATTCGTAGTTATCTGTTGCCATCAGTTTTACTCTAGTGTAAAGTGTGGGGTTAGGGACCGTGTATATAAGCTTTCATCGTGTTTGTACTGAGAACATAAAGCAAAGTTGTCATGACAGCAGCGACGAAAGCTTTGATGCTTTTCTGCTCGATTATCAAAGTGTATTGAATATACAGGTACTTTATTTTGCACGCATCACACAAAAATAGTAACGTCATCATTTCAAACCGACATGCAGCTGTAAATTATTATTTTTCCTGGTTTTGCTTAAAAAATCCTGGTGAAATTAAATTCCCGACATTTTCCTGGTTCACTTGCCACCTTGTATATCCCATCACCCCAAATGTACTATCATAACACCGAAAATTGATACAGATACCAATTCTTCAATCCATAAACTCTTCAAAACTCTAGTTTGAATGAGTCTTCGACACATGCAGATATCGAGTTTCATTTGGCTTATTAGCTGAGGTCATTCGGCTTATTATCTGAGGTCATTCGGCTAATAAGCCAAGGTCATTCGGTTTACTAGCCATTCGAAATAATGAACGTTTAACCACAGACAAACAGACATAACTCAATGAATATTTTTCAATATAAAACATCGTCGCTAAAACTCTACCGCCATCTGTTGAGTATACTGTGATGGGTAGTACGCTGAACAGTAGTGTGTAAACATCAAACGCAAGGGTTATTGACTATGCACGCCGCAGGTGGTGGTACTACCAACTGAAAACATTTAAATTGACCGTTAAATGCGTGTTAGATGAACAGATTGCCAGAGTTATGTCTGGTTATCTGTGATTTAGCTTTAAACCTAAAAGGAAGAATCTTATCAACTATCAGTTTTCTCCTTACAAAATAAATATCGTGACATATTCTTTTCGTCGACTTTCTCTTTGCATTCTTACGGTCATGTTAAGACATTCCCAGCTATTCTTAGCACACAGATTGACGAAAGATTCTATTATCTAGCTTCTAATAGGATAATCGCTCCTATAGATAATCGCTCCTATCACTGCAGGGAAAATCTATATTAATAGTACCTACACGCAGTGATGGAAAAGTTCGCGAAAACTCACTATGACTCGCGAACTTTTCCCTTGGTGAACTTCGTGAAATCTAGACTAACATTTGAAAAGGGCGTAATTCCAAAATGACCATATCGAGAAAATCGCTTCTGAATTTTGTTGACCTAAAAATTAATCCTATTTCACGACTTTCCATTTTCTGGTTGATTTTATAAGCTTGACATATAGTTAATAGTGTAATCTATCATCATGCATCACTAAAAACTCAAAAAAAGTTTTCTTTGTCGTGAAAATGAGAAGAAAACATCATACGCCCTGATAATTTCATACATGTTGTTACCCCCCAGATCTTCCACCCTTTGAACTGCCAACACTGGTGATACGCCGTGGAAGTACCCCCTCGGGATTTTTTGTTTGTTGTTCCGCCTTGGTTCTTCGTTCGCAAATTTTGTGAGAGTGGAATTACGCCCGGAGATGGTTTGGTCTTCTTTTTGTTCGTTGTTTACACGTGAACTATCAATCGGATGCATTTCAAATGAATCGGGCGTGACTAGATACTACAGAATCAAAACATTTGGCATATTAAAACGATATAATTCGTAGTTCTGGTGCAAGGCGTAACAACCAGATTCATCATAGAGTTGAAAGTTTGAAATACGCCATGTAAGAAGAAACATTTTTGATGATTTGAAGTGATATATTCTTCTACTTTTTCGTGTTTATCGAGTAGTTTGTGAACTATTCTCTCTATATGTGGCAAAATATGGTTTCATTCAAAGTGTTTTTTATGTTACTTCATACGCGAAGTTAACGATTTTCAGAGTTGGTTGGAAATGCTAACATGAAGCTTTAGTGTGATGATTTATTAGCTAGAGAATGATCTTTAGAAGAGGGTAGGTGGATAGTTCCGTTAGAGTACGGCAGTATGAAAATTGAATAGAAGTTGAAAATGAGCGAAGGGCCATTAAAGCGACAGTTTACAAGATAGACGCACATTTTTGCCTAGCCCGTACGATGTACGCGGGGACTTGAAGTATGTCTCCAAGTCCACAGGCCTACTTCAAGTCCCCGCGTACATCGTACGGGCTAGGCAAAAATGTGCGTCTATCTTGTAAACTGTCGCTTTAATGGCCCTTCGCTCATTTTCAACTTCTATTCAATTTTCATACTGCCGCACTCTAACGGAACTATCCACCTACCCTCTTCTAAAGATCATTCTCTAGCTAATAAATCATCACACTAAAGCTTCATGTTAGCATTTCCAACCAACTCTGAAAATATGGTTTGTTTACATTTTGGCTCTTCCGCCCCTTTCAAATGTTAGTCTAGAAATATCGCGAACTTTTCCAACACACACGGAGAAAAAATACTACCCAAAATTTGAGTTATTTTTGCTCAATATTGACTTCAGCCTCTCACTTGCACTCGTTATTATTGTCAAAAAAGGAACGAGAGGTTCGACGAAACGATATAGTTCAGCCCAATAAGTTACTTTTGAGTAAATTGCATATTCTCAAATTTACGTGAATTAAACTTAATTTTGGGTAGAATATGCTTAAGAGTATGTAATTTTTTTGCTGGTGTTAAATGGAAACTACTATATGCGCTTTACTCAAATTTGGATTATTGGGCTGAACCCCAGAATATGAACTGCATTGTAAATATGCTGCTTTTATAGGGTAAGCGTGCTGTTCTTTGAACTTTTTGCCTACAAATGAGTTAAAAACAAACTTCTTCTATGTAATTAAAACAGGAAATACGAAAATCTCGCATTATTGTTTAACTACAAAGTTTTGATTTTTTTTTATTTGTATTAGAAGGTCGAAAATTAGTACCTTTACCCTATTCTCAGTTTCAAGAAATATGAAAGGAAATACACGGTTTGTTTCATTATTATGCAAGAAAATATGCGTAAAAGTTATTTTTCTTTTTGTCTTCTTCTTTTATGGCTTTATTACAGGACTTTACGCCGGTCCTCAACATAGTGTTGTTTGAGCACTTCTACAGTTGTTAATTGAGAGTTTTCTAAGGTTTATAAGTTACGCATACATCTTTTGAAAGATTTTAGACTTCTCTGACGTTTGTGAATTGCACAAGTGTTATTGCAGACTTTGGGTAAATTCAAAGGATTCCTTGCACTAATATTTATAATTTACCTAAAGTTCTGCACTAATGCTTGTGCATTTCATAAACGTCAGATAAGTCTATAGTTGATAAGTTTAACATCAACGGGGCTTCATCCAGCCTGTTGATGTAAACAACAATAAACAATATGCTAAAACGTTCGCCACAGAACCAGGCTTGCAATTGCTCATTACAGCTAAAATGCTATTTTTCGTTTTTATGAAACAATGGGATAGGGTAGAGCGCTACTTCGTCGTAATCGCCCATTTCCGTTCTATCGATCAGAAAAGATCAATAATATCAATGATTTCACCGTGCCCAAATCAATAATAGGTTTGTTCCGATGCGTTAGTTCATTAGCTACAACATAAATCCTGTTAGAGCGCATTGTATGAATATTTACGCTCATTGTTCTCAAAACAAAAGAAGCGCTCCTAGCGAATCCCCTTTTTCTACGTTTATCCGTAGGACGAAGAAAATCTAATGGCGTTTCAATGCGTTAGGACGGAATTGAAACTCGTAGAACGAATTTAGAATCAAGAAGCAGTGTTAGATTTTAGACAATATCTCAACAATGTGTGACTCTTTATCAAATCCAACGGTACGTATGGAAAGGTGAATAAATTTGCAAGTCATTTTTGATAGAAATATTCCATTTTTTGTTTATACTCGTTCAGAAAAGAGAGGTAAAGCGCGGGTTGTGCTTAGTAGGACGGAAATTAGATCAAAAACCCTACTATAATGATAATTTTTATTTGTAAGATACAAGAAGAGGTGGTAAAGATTGTATATGACATATAAAATTTGTCAATTTTGCTTTCAGAAGGTCACAACTAGCGATTTTATGATCGCTGATTGCTCGCTCATCGCGTTGCTCATCGTTACAGCTAATCGCTATTGTGACCTTCTGAAAGCTAAATTGACATGTTTTATGTGCCATACACACACTTTACCTTCTGTTCTTGCATCTTGCAAATAAGAATTATCATTAAAATATTTCATAGCTTCATAAATCCGAAAAATAGCATTTTAGCTGTAATGAGCATTTGCAAGCTTGCACAGAACTACAAATATGTTGAAATTTACGTTTACAAAATACCAAATTTTTTGAAGCACCTGCCGGAAATTGTTCGAAATAATAGCAGTTTTTGATATGAAAATGTATGTACTGCAAATATTTTAAACATTTTTAACTGTTATGTATAGCGGCGCCGGTGGTGTAGTGGTAAGCGTGATTACCTCTCACCCTAGCAGACCTGATGTTCTGAGGCATAACTTCTCTGATCACGCCTTCCTTCGGAAGGGACGTAAAGCCGTTGGTCCCCGGTTCATGAGTTGATGGGTCGATAGGTAGGGTCCAGGTGTGGGAGCTGCCTCCCTGACGTCGGCAGCATTGGTGCTCAGCACGGAAAACAAATCAAGGAAAAAAATGTTATGTACATTTGATAATTGGGTGGAGATTATTTTAATTTTGAGGAATGAGCTGAAAAATCATTAAAACTGCGAACAATTTTACCTAGTATCTCACTTTTCGGCAAGTGCTTCCAAAAATTTGGTATTTTGTAATCGTAAAATTGAACATATTTGTAGTTCTGTGACTAAGGTTTCAGATCAATTAATCATAAGACAACAAAGTTGCATCATGTCAAAGTTGACCATTTTGCATGAAAATCAGTATGCGCTGCTGTTATGTCGAACAGCACTGTACATCGTTGGATAACGACATTAACAACACCAACAACAATACCAGAGAAACAGAGGAAGTGATAGGAATGCTCGAGGAAGATTGATGACCGAGATCATAGAAACCGAAGAGAACAGTGGAGAAAAAGAGAGTGAAAATGAAGCTCAGAAACAGCAGTCACTTGTGTTCAAGAATCAAAATGGTGATGATTATGATGATAAGCTTAACTAACATAAGTTTGGAATCATGAACTGTACAGATAAAAGGCAAACAAAGGAAGAAAAGTAATTTTATGGAAACGTAAGCATGTATTATGAGAACAACACAGAATATCGCTTCCCAGGAAGATTCACAAAACTTCATCACGAAAAAAATATAGATTTACTTTAAATTCATTCAGCTTTTAAGGTGTTTACATGCACCTAATCAAATGGCTGAGTTACAACAAAAGAAAACATGTTGAATATTACAGCACAATAGATGCACATAGGTCAGTCCATCGGTTGGGGCGTTCTATTTAATATTGGGACGACCGATAACACTTGAAAATTTGAACAAACGCACCTAGTGAAAGGCCGCAATGCTATCCCTCATAAGGATCGAGAAAACCTGAGATAAAAAGCGAAGTGCGTCGTTTGACTGCTACATTACTGCATAAAATAACATTTAATTAGTAATGCCTACGTAGTGCAGAGTGACAAAATTTGCATTCGTTTTTCATTGAATAGAAAACAACGCAACTGTATCTTCCCGGAACATCGTTTGAGAAAATCCTGCAAGAATATAACATTGCTTTGTAAACTAAACACATTCAAAGGCTACACAGCGTATTGAAATAAAGATAGACATAGTGCTAAGCTCGTATTAAAATCGTCAGTTTCCCCATCACGCAAAGCAAAACACTCGCACGAGGTACTGTGGGTCGCACGGGGTTGGCGCTCGAAGGTTATAATGCATCTTGCTAGCAACTTAACAAACCTGTTACGTGGTGTGCAATCGTCATTTATGCCGCTACTTAATATGAAGATCGTACATTAGAAGACTAATAAACATTTAGATACTCACATCGAGCAGCGTTAGCGAATAGCTAGCCGAATGCAGGACCGCAAACAGTGCCACTGGGAAAATGATCAGTAGCACCGGATAGGCGTACAGGAAAATCAGCGAATACAGCAGATAGTGGCAGGAATCTTCCAGCAGGAGCTTCTGTAGGTAATCCCGAGAGAACTGGAACGTTGGCATGCGCTGATGTAGGCGAAGTGCACTTGTGGCGGCATTGGCCATTAATACTTTGTAGTAAGCATTTGTGGGGTTTCTGAAATGGAAGAATGGGAATAGTTTAATTGATAATGTATGATTATAAATTAACTGTCAGTATTGGTAATAATTGGAACCACTTATTTTCGCAGAATAAGTCAACTCTCGACAAATCGATGTCAAGTAACTCGATATCGAGTTCGAGAAACAATGTAAACAGGATTTCCTATGGAGTTGTTGTTCTATAACACAATGGTCCCTTCAATATCGAGTTGTATAAAGTATATGGGGAAACGCCGGCTTCGGCAATACCTTTACCTATTATCGTCAGGGGTTAACAAAGCCCTTGATTGAGCGTTCAATTTGGGTCAATCGATGCTCTGAAACATGTTTGGTATTTATCCTCAAGCAAAAAATGAGTGCTCACGGTCTTCAATTGACGATTATAGGTTAAGGTATTGTCGAAACCGGCATTTACCCTATACATACTTTAGGGTAGATAGGGGCAATATGGTCCTCCTAAGAAAAACACTACATAACACATGAAAAACATTTATAAATGTATGATAGCTGTGATTATGTTCATACTTTGGAATATGTTTGATAATATACAATGTTCAAAATATGATAGACTCAATAAATTATTATACCTATCTGAAAAATTTCAGTTTTTGCTCCGATCAACAACCATACGGGGCAATATGAGCACCCTAGTAAAAGTTAACGTTTTGACAGGTTTTCACTAGAAAATAACATTCAGGAATCATGTGAAATAGAAACATAAGTTCTTTTAGCAACATTTACGTGTATTGCTCGCTATAAAACCAGCGGATCAGTAAAATGTAATATAGTGAATGCAATGCTTGTTTTCTTGGCTGCATTCTTATAATATTCTAGAGATTTTGAACTAATGTTACATTTCCATTATTATCATAGACATGTAATTAAATTTTGATACGGTTTTCATGGAGATGCAGATGCATTTTCAACAAGTTTGTAAAAAAAAATAGATTAAGTTAATAGGTATTATGCCCAAACGAACGGTGGCCCATCTCGCTCCGTATGGTCTTCTTGCCCCCATCCCCCCTACACGGTAGCATGACAGTTCCCATTAATGACTACTATTCCACTCAATTTGAAGACAATTGGGATAACTTTTTTACCCATTTATGGGTTACTATTAACCATAAAACGAGTAACTGCTACTCATTTGTGAGTGGGAAGCTCATCTGGTCAGTGTTTGGAAAAAACACAAATCACATGGGTGAGTTTATGAGTGAGTTTTGCCTTGTAAAATTCGAAGTCGCAAAAATCACCGATGAGTTCGAAAATTAATTTCTTTATATTTTGGCATTATTCATTGTTATTACTATTGTTTGCGCATCAGGGGTTCGAAAACTAATACAGCATGAATAAGCATGCTATCACTTAACGTTTGAGTGGTTTTTATAAGTTTAAAGCTGGAATGATTTTGCGGCGTTGTGACTGAGTGCGTGAATATGCATGAGAATCTTAGGCGTGAATTTTGTTTGCCGCATTCGCACGCGAATTTATTCTCGCAGGGAGGTTCAATGAAAGTCATTTTGCATAAGACTTTTCTTTCCATATAGCCATTCGATATATTGTACATTAGATATATGTAGACATATATAGTAAGAGCCAGGTAAAGTCTGGTCCACTTAGAATCCGAAAACTTTATTTTTATTCGATAGCAGCGCCTGTAGTGGTCGGATTTGGAATGTTTTGACAGAGATTTATATTCAGAGTACACGTGTTTCAGTGGTGAAAGTTTCGTCTCGATACGTGCAGTATTAAAAAAGTTGTACTAGATGGAAGACGAGAAAATAAAATTGATTATGCAATCCGACGTGGTCAGTTCGAAATATCTCGAAAGAGATGTCAAGATGGATTTCCGGCAGGTTCCCGGACAAAAAAATTATCTGCCCACAGCACGGGTGACAGCAAATTCAAGTTTGTTTTCGCCGATAAATTCGCCCGAAAACTAATGATCTGGCAAAGAATTTGCAGCTGCGGACTCAAAACCAAGCTTATCTTTTCTTTTTTTTTTTTTTTTTTTGTAGTGATCCAGTGGCAGCAACTTGCTTAAACTCTACACTGGACCCCTTTTATTGGTAAATTTTGCTTCTATGAGCCTCTATTTTAAATCAACACACAGACGTTCCTAGGCTATGGTGCCCATGTGGTCACTGTTGTTTTTGTGTTGATCCAAATAGTTTTTATAATATAATTGCACATTCTTGTATTTTGTCTTGTTTTTTTGTTACCTTTTTTTTTTTTTTTTTTTTTTTTTTTTTTTTTTTTTTTTTTTTTTTTTTTTTTTTTTTTGTCCCAGTCTTGTCTTCTGTCGTCACTTATTTTGTCATTTTGTCTTGTGTATTAACCCCAACTTGTCTTGTGTATTGTGTTAACATGTGTCTATTGTCCACCAACCCCCCCCCCCCCCAACTGTTTTTATGCTCGTTCTGTTACTCTGTTACGACTAATTTCATTGAGTGTTTTTTTAATTTTTAATTTTTTTTTTTTTTTTTTTTTTTTATCATCCATACTCTCTGTACGGTCTGCTCTACAGAAGCTCTTCTATATCCTTTTTTCTGTATTTCTGCCCATAAATATATTATGAACCTTTGTTTAATTATTCCTTACAGATATGATTCATCCCCATTCGTTATTTCCTTTTCTAACTGATTCAATACATTAATTTGAAATGTCATGCTACATACCATATGCTTTCTGTGTTTGCCGCTTTCTTTTTCGATCTCTACTTGTAGTATCTCTGATGGCGATATTTTATATTTTCCTCTTGACTTCTTTTAGCGTTGTTAATAAATTGTTTTTAATTTTATTTATTAATTAATTTCATCGAATCGAAAGTTTATCGAGTCTTCATCACTGAATCCAGCAAATGTTGACGTTAGTAGTGAGCTTTCATCGCTGTCTCTGTCTGAGTCGCTACTATCCTCATATTCTGATTCTACCATTACTCTAAACAATTTCTTCGTTGATTCTTTCATTTTTCCTTTATCTTTAGCTATTTCTTGCCATTCATTGATATTGATATCACTTCTTTCGATGTCTTGTCTTATGCACGTCCTCCATGTGTATGCTGGTCTTCCAACTTTCTTCTCCTTGTCTATCTTGTATTCCAGTGCTGTTTTTAGGATGCCGTTATCCTCACTTCTAATAATGTGTCCATAGTAGTTCAATCTAGCAATTCTGATTTTGTTATTTATTGTATAACCGTTGAGCCAATTCTGAGGTATATATGGATTGTTTTCGTTTTGCTGGGGTTCCATTCCATCATATGGTGAGTTGTCGTTTTCCGTTATTTGTTCATCTTCTCTAGGATTAGCTACCTTTGTAGTGTTATTTTCAGCTTCCGCTTTCTCATCACTTAACCCTTTGAGCGTGAGAAGCATTTCCTGTTCCATGGCTCTGAGTGTATTCCTATTTATTTTAATGAGTGTAGATACTTCCATCGAGTAAGTCACCACCGGAGTCACTAGACAGTGGTACAATCTTCTAACCACATCCCACGGAAGGCGATGTTCTTTAAGAAATGAACATAAATGGAAAAACGCTTTCTGTGCTTTTCTTATCCTGTCTGCCGTTGTTGCACCTCTAGTTAAGCTGCTGGTGATTTGCGCTCCAAGGTATTTCAGGATGGTTGTTACCGGCAATTCGTACTTTCCAAATTTCATTATTTTCTCCGACTCTATATTGTTTATGATTTCGGGATCACGATATAAAACCTTCGTTTTCTTCATATTAATTTCAAGCCCGATTGATGCGAGTAGCGGTTCCAGAACTGAAAGCAGTCTTTCCACATCTTCTTCGCTTTTGCAAATTATCATTATATCATCTGCATATCCCAGAATGCAAGGTAGTTTTATATCGTGGATTTGTGTTAATCTCAATTCTGGGATGAATTCTTGTAGCGTGCATAGCACATGATGCAACATCAGAATGAATATTTGAGGACTTATTGGACATCCTTGTTTAATGCCTTTCGTTTTGGTAACATTTGATGTCCTTTGTCCAAACCATTGTATGGAGGTTTTTTCGTGTAAGCAAGCAGTGACAATCCGGTTTATAAGTGCTTTAGATACTCCCAATTCTGCCAAAATCATCGCAGTTTTGGAAATATCTATCCTATCAAATGCCTGTTTCAGGTCGATAGCAACTAGTATCGTCTTGCAACCTTTGCGCCATCGTTCATCAAGAATCCTCCGAAGAACGAAAATCTGGTCTGTAGCACTTCTCTTGTTCTGAAAGGCCATTTGGTATGCCGGCAATGGGTCTACTTGTTCTTGCAGCCTTTTAAGCAATAGTTTAGCATATATTTTATACGGGCTATTGCATAAAGTTATGCATCGATAATCCTCCATGCTTTGAGGATGTGAAATTTTTGGGATTGGTACTTGTACTGTGTCGATCCATGCCTTTGGAACTACGTTTGTACGGAATACCTCTTTCATTATTTCCACTATGCTATCAATTAAGCTTTCCGATCCATATTTTATCAACTCGTTATTAAGGTTGTCCAGTCCTGGTGCGCTATTGTTCCTATTTGTCCATATAATATTTTGAATTTCTTCCCTCGTCGGCGCCGGTCCTGCCTCTCGTCCATCATCTTCTTCGAGTGGATTCAGCGATGTTCCTTCTTTGTCAATTGATGTGTTTTTAATTTTTCGTTCCCAATGTTGGATTGGTATATATTTTCGCGACTTGCTTTCCTTATTGCGTTTGTGGTGTTTTATAAACCTGAACGTTTTTGTCATTTGGGCTAACTCGTTTTCTTTTTCAACTGCTCCAAGAAATTTATTTACTTTTTCGGTGAAATGCAAATCATATGCCTTCCTCTTTTCAACTCTTGCCGCCGCTGCTTCCCTTCTTAAATCCGGATTGTTTTTGTCCGCCATCCTCCTTTGCGTTGCTAGGAAGTATTTTTTCGATGCTTCCCTTCTTCTTGGAGTCGGTGGGGATCCCATGGTTTTAAGCACTGTCTCAGCACTGCTTGTTATTGCTGCTTGGATCCTA